TCATTTATCAGATCTAGGAGTTTTTGGATTAGTCTTCAGGTTTTTCTACATATATGATTATATCATTGGTGAAGAGCAATAGTTTGACTTTTTCTGTACCAATTTGGATGCCCATAATTTCTTTCACTTGTCTGATTGCTCTGGCTAGGACTTCAGGTACTATGTTGAAAAGAAGTGTTGAACGTGGGCATCCTTGTCTTGTTTCAGTTCTTAGGGGGGATGTTTTCAATTTTTTCCACATTCAGTATAATACTGGCTGTGGGCTTGTCACAGATGGCATTTATTACTTTAAGGTATGCCTCTTCTATGCTGATTTTGGTGAGGGTTTTAATCATAAAGCAATGCTGGATGTTGTCAAATGCTTTTTCTGCATCTATTGAGATGATCATGGGACTTTTTGTTTTTAATTCTGTTTATGTGGTGTATCACATTTCTTGACTTGCGTATATTAAACCAACACTGCATCACTGCCATGAAAAGGCCTTGATCATGGTGGATTGTCTTTGTCATATGCTGTTAGATTTGGTAAGCTAGTATTTTATTGAGGATATTTACATCTATGTTCATCAGAGTTATTGGTCTGTAGTTTTATTTTTCGTTATGTACTTTCCTGGTTTTGGTATTAGGGTAATACTGGCTTCACAGAATGATTTAGGGAGGATTCTGTCTTTCTCTAACTTTTACAATAGTTTCAATAGAATTGATACCAATTCTTCTTTGAATGTCTGATCGAATTCAGCTGTTAATCTATCCATCCCTGGACCTTTGTTGGCAATTTTTAAATTACCATTTCAATCTTGCTGCTTGCTATTGGTCTGTCCAGAGTTTCTATATTTTTCTGGTTTAATCTAGGGGGGTTGTATATTTTCAGGAATTTATCCATCTACTTTAGGTTTTATTTTTTGTCCTTTAACTGTTATTTTAGGTTTAGGGGTATGAGTGCAGGATGTGCAGGTTTGTTGCATGGGTAAATGTGTGCCATGGTGGTTTGCTGTACAGATCATTTCATCACCGAGGTATTAAGCCCAACATCCATTAGCTATTTTTTCTGATACTCTCCCTCCCCAATCTCCTTCAACAGGCCCCAGTGTGTGTTGTTTCCCCCCATACGTCCATTTTTCTCGTCATTCAGCTCCCACTTATAAGTGAGAACGTGTGGTGTTTAGTTTTCTGTTTCTGAGTTACTTTGCGGAGAAATAAGGCTTCCAACTCCATCCATGCCCCTGAAAAAGAAATGATCTTGTTCTTTTTTATGACTGCATACTATTCCAGAGAGAATCTGTACCACATTTTCTTTATCCAGTTTACCATTCATGGGCATTTAGATTGATTCCATGTCTTTGCTATTGTGAAAAGCGCTGCAGTGAACATATGTGTTCATGTATCTTTATCATAGAATAATTTATATTAATTTGGTTATATAACCAGTAATAGGATTGCTGGGTCAAATGGTATTTCTGCCTCTACATCTTTGGAGAATCACCACACTGTCCTCCACAATTGTTGAACTAATTTACATTCTCACCAACAGTGTAAAAATGTTCCTTTTTCTCTGCAACCTCAACAGCATCTGTTGTTTTTTTTATTTTTTAAAAATCTCCATTCTCACTGGCTTGAAATGTATCTCATTGTGGTTTTGATATGCATTTATCTAATAATCCGTTTTGTTGAACTTTTTTTCATATGTTTTTGGACAAATGTATATGTTCTTTTGAAAAGTGTTTGTTCGTGTCATTTTCCCAAGTTTAATGGGATTGTTTACTTTTTTTCTTGCAAATTTGTTTAAATTTCTAGTATACTCTGTATATTAGAGCTTTATCAGATAGGTAAATTGCAAGCATTTTCTCTCATTCTGAAGTTGTCTGTTCACTGTGATGACAGTTTCTTTTGCAATGCAGAAGCTCTGTAGTTTAGTTAAATCCTATTTGTCAATTTTTATTTTGTTGTGGTTGCTTTTGGCATTTTCATAATGAAACCTTTTCCAATACCTATGTCCTAAATTATGTTGCCTAGATTTTCTTCTAGGGTTTTAATGGTTTGGGGGTTTGCATTTAAGTCCAACTTGAGTTAATTTTTGTATGTGGTGTAATAAATGGATCCAGTTTTAATTTTCTGCAAATGGCCAGCCAGCACACACAGCAGCATTTATTATATGGGGAATCATTTCCTCATTGCTAATTTTTGTTAAGTATGCTGAAAATCAGATGGTTGTAGGTGTGTGGTCTTATTTTTGGGGTCTCTATTCTGTTCCATGAGTCTATGCATCTGTTTTTGTACCAGTACCTTGCTGTTTTGGTTACTGAAGCCTTGTAGTATAGTTTGAAGTCAGGGAGCATGATACCTCTAGCTTTGTTCTTTTTGCTTAGGAATGACTTGGCTATTCGGGCTCTTTTTTGCTTCCATATGAATGTTAAAATATATATATTTTTAATTCTGTGAAGAATGCCAATGGTAGTTTAATGGGAATTGCATTGAATAGCCAGAAACTTTTGGGCTGAGATGATGAAATTTTCTAGATATAGAATCACGTCATCTACAAAAAAAAGATAATTTGACTTCATCCCTTCCTATTTGAATACCTTTCTCACACCTGCCTGATTGCTATGGCCAGAATTTCCAATACTATGTTGAATAGGAGTGGTGAGGGAGGGCATCCTTGTCTTGTGCTGGTTTTCAAGGGGAATTCTTTCAGTTTTTTACCATTTAGTATGGCACTGGCTATGGGTTTGTCATATATGGCTTATTGTCTTGAGATATGTTCCTTTAATACCTAGTTTATTGAGAATTTTTAACATGAAGCAATGTTGAATTTTATCAAGGGCCTTTTCTGCATCTACTGAGATAATCATGTGGTTTTTGTATTTAGTTCTGTTTATGTGATGAATCACATTTATTGATTTGTATATACTGAACTAACCTTGCATCCCAGGGATGAAGCAAACTTGATCATGGTGGACAAGCTTTGTGATGTGTTGCTGGATTTGGTTTACAAGTATTTTATTGAGAATTTTTGAATCAATGTTTATGAAGGATATTGACCTGAAGGATATTTTGTTTTTGTTTTTATCTCTGCCAGGTTTTGGTAACAGGATGATGCTGGCCTCATAGAATGAGTTAGGGAGGAGTCCCTCATTTTCAATTATTTTTGCAATAGTTTCCATAGACATGGTACCAGCTCTTTTTTGTACCTCTGGTAGAATTCAACTTTGCATCTGTCTGGTCCTGTTTTTTTTGTTTTGTTTTGTTTTGGTTTTTTTGGGGGTTTTTTTTTTTTTTTTTTTTTTTTTTTGGCTATTTATTACTGCCTCAATTTCAGAACTTGTTATTGGTCTATTCAGAGATTCAATTTCTTCCTCATTAAGTCTTGGGAGGGTGTATGTGTCCTGGAAATTATCCATTTTTTAGTTTATGTGCATAGAGGTGTTTATAGCATGGTCTGATGGTTGCTTGTATCTCTGTGGGGTCAGTGGTGATGTCTCCTTTATCATTTCTGATTGTGTTTATTTTATTCTTTCCTCTTTTCTTCTTTATTAGTCTTGTTAGCAGTCTATCTATTTTATTATTGTTTTCAAAAAGCCAGCTCCTGGATTTGTTGACTTTTTGAAGGGTTTTTGTGTTTCTTTCTCTTTCACTGCAGCTCTGATATTGTTTACTTCCTGTCTTCTGATAGCTTTGGGGTTTGTTTTCTCTTGGTTCTTTAGTTCTTTTAGTTGAGATGTTAGGTTGTTAACTCGAGTTCTTTCTAGCTTTTTGATGTGAGGATTTAGTGATATAAATTTACCTCTTAACATTGCTTTCGGTGCATCCCAGAGATTCTAGTACATTGTCTTTTGGTTCTCATTAGTTTCAAAGAATGTCTTGATTTCTGCCTTAATTTCATTGCTTACTTAACAGTCATTGAGTAGCAGGTTCTTCAATTTTCATGTAGCTCTGTGTTTTTGAGTAACTGTCTTCATCTTGAGTTTTTATTTGATTGTACTGTGGTGAAAAACTATTCATTATGATTTCAGTTCTTTTGCATTTTCTGAGGAGTGTTTTACTTTCAATTATGTCAGGAATTTTAGAGTAAGTGCTATGTGGCAATGAGAAGAATGTATATTCTGTTGAATTTGGGTGGACAGTTCTTCAGATATCTGTAAAGTCCACTTGATCCAGAGCTGAGTTCAAGTTCTGAATATCTTTGTTAATTTTCTGTCATGATGATCTATCTAATATTGTCAGTGGGTTTTGAAAGTGTTCCATTATTATTGTGTGAATATCTAAGTCGTTTTGTAGGTCTCTAAGAAGTTGCTTTATACATCTGGATGCTCCTCTATTGGGTGCATATATATTTAGGATACTTAGCACTTCTTGTTGAATTAAACCCTTTACCATCATGTAATGCTTTTCTTTGTCTTTTTTTTTTTTTTTTTTTTTTTTTTTTTTTTTTTTTTTTTTTAATCTTTGCTGGTTTAAAGTCTGTATTGTCAGAAACTAGTATTGTAGCATGCCCTTATTTCTGTTTTCCACTTGCTTGGTAAATTTTCTTTCAACCCTTTATTTTGAGCCTATCTTTGTCTTTGCATGTGAGATGGGTCTCCTGAGGACAGCATACCTATGGGTCCTTGCTCTTTATCCAACTTGCCATTCTGTGTCCTTTAATTGGGGCATTTAGTCCATTTACATTTAAGGATAGTATTGTTATGTGTGAATTTGATCCTGTAAACATGGTGCTAGCTGGTTATTTTGCATATTTGTTTATATGATTGCTTCATAGTGTCACTGTTTTGTGTACATCATTGTGTTTTTGTAGTGTCTGGTAATGGGTTTCCCTTTTTTATTTAGTGCTTCTTTCAGAAGCTCTTTCAATGCAGGTCTGCTGGTGATGAATTTCTTCAGCATTTGCTTGTCTGAAAAGGATCTTGTTTCTCCTTTGCTTATGAAGCTTAGTTTTTTTGGATATGAAATTGTAGTTTGGAAATTCATTTCTTTAAGAATGTTAAATATTAGCCCCCAATCTCAAAACTATAGAATGCTTCACAAATTTGTGTCTCACACAAGCACAGAGGCCATGCTAATCTTGTCTGTATCATTCCAATTTTAGTATATGTGCTTCTAAAGCAAGCACTAAGCACTCCTCCAGGTGTTCTAGCTTGTGTGTGAAATGGTGTTTATAGTAGCCTAGAATAACCTTTTGTATTTCTTTGGTATTGGTTGTGATATCTTCTGTTTTATTTCTGATTGAGTTTATTTGGATCTTCTCTCTTCTTTTCTGGGTTAATATTACTAATGGTTTATCAATTTTGTTTACCTTTTCAGAGAACCAGCTTTTTGCTTTATTTAGCTTTTGTACTGCTTTCTTTTGTTCCAATCTCATTTAGTTCTGCTCTGATCTTTGCTCTGTCTTTTCTTCTGCTGGGTTTGGGTTTGGTCAGTTCTTGTTCTTCTGATTCCTTGAGGTGTGAGCTTAGATAGTCTATTTTTGCTTCTTGTGACTTTTTGCTATTGGCATTTAATGCTATAAACTTTCCTTTTAGCACCAGATTTCCTGTATTCCATAGGTTTTCATAGGTTGTGTCACTACTATTGGTCAGTTCAAAAAATTTTGTTTCCACCTTGAGTTTTTTGTTGACCCAAAGATCACTCAGAAGCAGATTATTTCATTTCTATGTGTTTGCATGGTTTTGAGGGTTCCTTTTGGAGTTGATTTTCAATTTTATTCTGCAGTGGTCTGAGAAGGTACTTGATACAATTTTGAGTTTCTTAAATTTATTGAGACTTGTTTTGTGGCCTATCATATGGTCTATCTTGGAGAATGCTCCATGTGCTGATGAATAGAATGTATATTCTGCAGTTGTTGGGTAGAATGTTGTGTAAATACGTGTTAAGTCCATTTGATCTAGTACATCACTTATGTCCACTGTTTCTTTGCTGACTGTCTTGATGATATGTCTAATGCTGTCAGTAGAGTACTGAAGTCCCCACTATTATTGCATTTCTGTCTATCTCACTTCTTAGGTCTAGTAGTAATTGTTTTATAACTTTGGGAGTTCCAGTGTTAGGTGCATATATATTTAGGATTATCATATATTCCTGTTGGACTAGTCTTTTCATCATTATATAATGTCACTCTTTGCCTTTTTTACTGTTTTTGTGTTAAAGTCTGTTTTGTCTGATATAAGAAGAGCAACTCCTGCTCACTTTTGATGTCCATTTGCATAGAATATCTTTTTCTACCCCTTTACCTTAAGTTATGTAAGTCCTTATGTGTTAGGTGAGTCTCTGGAAGACAGCAGATAGTTGGTTGGTTAATTTTCATCCATTCTGTCATTCTGTATCTTGTAAGTAGAGCATTTACGCCATTTCATTTAACATTAGTATTCAGATGTGAGGTACTATTTTATTCACAATGCTAGCTGTTGCCTGAATACAATGCTTTTTTTTTCATTGTGTTCTTGTTTTATAGGTCTTGTGAGATTTATGCTTTAATGAGGTTCTATCTTGGTGTATTTTGAGCTTTAAAGATTTAGAACTTCTTTCAACAGTTATTGTAGTGATGGCTTGGTTATGGTGAATTTTCTTAGCATTTGTTTGTGACAAAATGACTCTTTTTTTCACTTATGAAGCTGACTTTTGCTGGATGCAAAATTCTTGGCTGATAGCTGTTTTGTTTATGGAGGCTAAAATAGGACTCCAGTTTCTTCTAGCTTGAGGGGTTCCTGCTTAGAAATATGCTGTTAATCTGATTAGTTTTCGTTTATAGGTTACCTGATGCTCTTCCCTCACAGCTCTTAAGATTCTTTCCTTTGTCTTGCCTTTAGATAATCTGATGACTATCTGTCTAGGTGATGATCAATCTGTGATGAATTTCACCTATGTTCTTTGAGCTTTTTGCATTTTGATATCTATATCTCTAGGAAGGCCAAATATGTTGTCTCAATTATCCCTTCAAGTATGTTTTCCAAAGGCTTAGATTTTTCTTCTTTTTCAGAATACCAATTATTCTTAGGTTTGGTAGTTTAACATAATCTTAAACTTCTTGGAGACTTTATTCTCATTCATTTTTTTTTTCTGTGTCTTTGTAAGATTGGGTTAATTCAATAGCCTTGTATTTGAGTTCTGAAGTTCTATTTTCTGTTTTCTACTAGTTCAATTCTATTGTTGAAACTTTCCAGCATATTTTGCATTTATGCGAGTTTGTCTTTCATTTACAGAAGTTTTGTGATTATTTCTTATTATGCTGTCTATTTCTCTGGAGATATTTTCGTCCACATCTTGTATTATATTTTAAATTTATTTAAGTTGGTTTTCACCTTTTTCTTGTGCCTCCTTGAGCAGCTTAATAATTGGCCTTCTGAATTTTATTTTGGGGGGGCAATTCAGAGATTTCTTCTTCATTTGATTTTATTTCTGGTGAGCTAGTGTGATCTTATGGGGGTGTTAGAGAACATTGGTTTGTCATATTACCAGAATTGTTTGGTTTCTTCTTATTTGGGTAGACTATGTCAGAGAAAAGACCTAGGACTCAAGGGCTGTTGCTCAGATTATTTTGTTTCACAGGGCAATCCCTTGATTTGGTACTCTCCCTCTTCCCCTAGGGATGGGACTTTCAAGAGCTGGACTGCACATTTTGTTACTCCTCTTCTAGGTCTAGGCATGCAGTGGAGCTACTGGACTCCAGGCAGGTCCTGGGGAGTGTCCACAAAGAGTCCTGTGATGTGATTTGTCTTCAGGTCTGCCAGCCATAGATACCAACACCTGCTCCAATACAGGTAGCAGGTGAGTGATGTTGACTCTGTGAGGGTCCTTGGTTGTAGTTTTGTTTAGTGCACTGGTTTTCTCAAATGCAGTTAAGTTGTCACATGAAGAGACTCAGGACCTCTTGTTAGCCAGAATGTTACAGGAAATAAAGTTAGCTCTTGTTTTCTCATTTGTTGAAGTAGAGCTGTTCATTCCTGAGTTGCTGTAGTGGCCTTAGCTGTTTGGCCTCCAGCCAGGATGTGGCACTTTCAAGACAGCATCAGATATGGTAGTTTGGGGGGGATACAATCTTGCCCTAAAGTTGCCTGGGTAAGTGTTCAGGTTTCTCAGGTGCCATAGAGCTTCCAAGAGATAATGTCTTTTATCTTCAGCTACCAGGGTGAATAGAGAAAGACTGTCACATAGGAGGAAGGTTCTCTATGTCTGAGCTCAGACTCTTTTTGGTCAGGGCTTGCTGCAGCCACTGTAAGAATACGGGTTTGATTCTCAGGCTAATGGTGTTGTGTTCCCAAGGGGATTTTGTCTACCTCTGCTTTATCATACAGGTCACCAGGAAAGTGGTGAATGTTGGCAGTGACAGGCCTTACCCAGCTCCCATGCAGCCAGCAAAGCCAGTCTCACTCCAACTGTGTCCCACCAACAGCCCCGAGTTTATATGTATTCAGCCAGAGAGCAAGACTGATATCTTACCCCAGGCTAGAAGACTGTTGCAGCTCCTGTGCTCATATCTGAACATCCCATTCACCTCCCCGCCTCCCAGATTCTGCCCAGGAAAAATCACTCACAGTCAAAATTATTACAAAATTCAGCTGGAATTTTCCTTCTTCCTGTGGTCCTTCTCTAATTCCACTGGCAGCCCTTCCCAAAGACTTCTGTGAGATAAAGTAAAAAATGGCTTCCCTGGGGGCCAGGAGTGCCCACAGGGCTTCTTTTGCTGCTTCTTCTACTTTTATATTTCACTCAGCTCTCTAAATTTGTTTCAGCTCTAGGTAAGGTTAAATCCTTCTCTTCTGATTTGGATTTTTAGGTTCTCCATAGAGGATGTGTGTTCAGAAACAGACTTTTCCCCTATCACAATTTGGGCACTCACAGTTTTTTGGCTGTCTCACGGAGTTTGCAGCAGCAAACCACTTCTTTCAAAGAGTGTGTGAATTATTTAGGTTTTCCTGGTATGTCCCTGCAGTAGTTTTTGAAGCAAAAGTTGAACAATTTTTAAAAGTCAAAGAGGCAGTTTATTACCTTAAAGCATTTGACAAACCTAATATTTGACCTTCCTAATATAGACCAAATGTCTTTATTTTACCAATAATCTTAACAACTCTTCAATTTCCTGAAGCTTACTAAAGTTATGTTAAATAAAAGGCATTAGTTTTTATTTTCATAGCAAAATATGTGATTCCAGCACTTATTATTTTTAAGCCACTTAATCAGAGCTCGTTCATATATAAACATCACATACAGAACACATATAAATACACAGAAAGGCAGAAGAAGATCTAATAGTTGTATGATTTTTTCATTTGCCAATTTTTGCATTTCTTTTTAAAGCATGCAGTTTTTAAGGCCTAATATGCAGGTACAGCTGGAAAACAAAACAGATCCCTAAAAATTCAGGGTCCCATTTTTATGCTGGATCCTGCATCCCTAAAAGAGAAGTGTTATAGAACAAGACAGTGCACTGATTTTGTGCATTTCATGGTAAAAACATTGCTTTGCATTGCAAAGCATCCCAAAGTTGATTAGTTGATTCTGTGATTAGCCCATCCCCCAAGGGAGTCTAATCTCAATGAGAGGTGGGGACATTTCCATTCTTTTTAGGTGGCCAGGAGTATGCTTCTCTTATTTAAATGTGCAAAGAGTCAAGTATCCTCCACAACTGCCATTTGCCATCCCCAAAAGTATATTTAGCCTTAGATTTTAAGAGCGATCTATCTGTTTTCAGTTCCTGGAGTTTCATGACTAAAACAGAGGTTTTTCCCAAAACAAGGTCAGTGGCACCTCCTGTGTTTTTGCCAAGGAGTCCCAAGCTGTTAGAGGTTACTTAAGGTTCTCTTATGTGTGCATCAAGAGCGACAAGAAGAAAAAATAAAATAAAGAAAAACAATTCAGTTGACTGAAAAGAAAAAAAAAACTTATAAAATACAAGATTCAAGAAGATAAAAATCCATAAATACTTTTAAAATATACCTATAGCTTGAATATCTGCTTTTAATTAAGCTGACTTTTAACCAAATATTTATTGCCAAATGCTAACCTTAACAAACAGCAAATATGTCTGGCTTTTGAACTTCACTAAACGTATCCTCTCAGGTGCTCAGAGAAAGTAAAATTCAAGAAGTGAATTCAGAAGTTTTTCATGGAGGGGAA